AAACCATTAGACAAACGTTAGATTAAACAAACGATGAGACAATTCTGATTTCAAAGAAAAAAAATTCTTTATTTTGCGAATAGATTTATTGGAATATTACCAAGCATATAAATTTTAAATAAGAAAAACAAATCGAAGATGATTCTTCCTTCCTCTTGTATGCTAATTTCTACTAATAATCTCGTCTCAATATCAATCGTACCAATGTTTGCAACCATTTATATCTTCAATTACGATATATTAATTTTTCACCGTTTGCCGACCAATAATAAATAATTGGATTAATTTTATGTATGCGAGTGATTTCGGTCAAGATAACGATTATCGTTTGAAACAACTTATCTCTAAAATCAGTTCGAATCATAATAATAATGAATAAACGTTTCGTCGTGTAACCGTTCGGAATCTAATATATCTTCGTAATCATTTAAAAATTTTTTTTGACGAAAAATTAGTTAATGATAAAAAATATTTGACATTTTGCTAAATACTTATTATTCAATATTAACCCATATCCAATTTCGTTTCCGTAATAATATTTCAAAAATATAAAAGTTCGATCGATAAATATCTTCGATCATATTTGCTTAATTAAAATTCGTATATCATAGATCACAGATTTTCTTCGGAAACGCTTCATAAAAATTTTATCAATACTAAATAAAATTTTACGATAAATTAAATTCATATAAATAGAGTTTTACAATTTTTTCTATTTCAAGTTTTGTTCAAAGAAAAATGCATGTTTAAAATGCATACATTTTTCTTTCAGATACGAATAATATTTTCTACTAGCTATTTATTATTAATGATTGCTTAGATACCAGTAGATCGGTTTTATTCAGAATAAAATGAACCGATAATAATATTTACCATTTATGTATAAAAGCTTATGTGAATGTCTATACGGTACGAATAGAACTACGCAAGCCTAATAGCACAATGGTGCTAGTGAATCTATATTCCGTACATTTGCGTGACAAACGTGCACGTTTGTCGATGCTGTCGGTATCGGACGAATAATAAAGAATCTGCATGGTAGTAGTTCTAGTTCGCGTGATGGAGGGGCATATATTCCACAGGGATTTCGAATATATTCAAATTTCCCGCCATTCAGCCGGAAAAAATACGGTTCCTTTGAGATTTTTTGCTCTAATTAATCACGATTTGTATTTACGAACACGATAATACATCTCGCTAACCTAATCTAACATGTTTAAACAAAAAAATTTAGGAAGATTCGGGTTAAAATACTATTTCTTTCTGGAATGATATTTTAACCGTTAAAATTCAAATTTTCCATCATATATACGTCAATAACGTACAAATGCTACGTTACGATCGAGATCCGAGAAAATGATTCGATGAAAATGTGTAATATCTTTTTCTTTAGAAAAAATTCCATCACAAATATCATTCGATATATTAAATATGATCGATATTAAATACGATTACACGAAATACACGATACGAGCCATGTTTAATGGAACCATGTTTCACTCGTCGATACACGTAACGATGCGTTTTGGCGCGTAATGAACGAAAAAGATGCCACAATGCCAAAATAACACGTTTAAGAAGTCTTGCATCGATATAACGATGTTCGAGAAAAAGTATACATGATATTTACTCACCTTTCTTACAAAAATGTCAACTATCAATGTATGTACTTCGAATGGAACGATGTTTTTTGCCTTCTCTTCGATGTTCAATGTCGCGTGGGCAGTCCACCTCTAAGTAAACAAAAACACAGACTTCAAATTGTCGATTCCCTTGCACGAGAGTTTTCTTCCATATGATCACTCGCGTGGTCTTTTTTTTCGGTCAGTAAAAAATAGTCGTCGAGAAGAGTGGCAGCAAATGCGACAAGAGAGGTGGCATAGTTGAAACAAAGATGTAACGTGAGAGTCAGAGAAACGGAGAAAGAGAAAGAAAAAGGGAAAGAGAGAAGAAGACAGAGAAGAAAGAAAGAAAAAAAGGATAAAAAACAAGACGCGAGAAAAGTAGCTAGTGATAACGAGTTTTCTGCACTTGAAATCATGTATATGTGAGATACGAGATTCTTTCACACGTCGATCACCAAACATGAGAAATATTTTCGCCAACAAAAGCGTTTCATTGGTTTACCGATGATTCGTTATACGCCATCAATGTCATGATCGTCAACGAATCCATATGATGACCCACGACTTTTCAAACGTTTTTGCTCGTTCTAATCACGATTCTCACTAGTACAGCTTTTTCATCGGGATCAAAAAAGATTTTTCGTTTCGTTTGATTTGGAAGATACGTAGTTGCATGCGTGGCGCGCGCGCGTGTTCGGAGTCTCGCGACGATCGTCCTCTTCCTCCAATGTGTGTTCCTGCTCAGGATCCGATCGAGCAGGCACTGACCCCACGAGACGACGTCGAAGCGAAGAAGAGAGAGAAGGAATAAGACAGACAGATAGAGAAAGAGAGAGAGAGAGAGAGAGAGAGAGAGAGAGAGAGAGAG